GGGTCGTGCCTTGAGAGAAGTTCAATTTCTGCAGCATATTTAACGCTTGTTTTAGTAGAGCCAACACCAGTGATAGTGCCCTTGATAGGCGTTCTCCTTAATCGTAACATCTGGGCTGCTCTTTCACTCATAAACGTAGCCTGGGAGCCGTGATCAATCAATGTGCGTAACACTGTCATTTGCTTTGAATCGTAACCTCTTACTGGTATGAGTGCTGTGGCCAGCAATGCAGTGGACACCTTAGAAGCGACATGTGATGAAAGTGTGACATTGGATTCGGCTGATTGTGCAGAAGATTGATGACTTCAACATCGTTATATTTGTCTTGATTCTTGTAATTGTCTGGCTGGTTTGATGACGTCATAGGCGTGAAATGGTGCGTGAGCATGTGATGACGTTTGTGACATGTTCTACAGGACATCTTCAGGTGACATCGTCGTGCAGAGTGGCCAGGGGCCAGACAATTAAAGCACAGATTGTGTTTCTTTATTTAATCACATCTCTCGGTTGGGCTTAGCTTGATGAATTGTTTACACTGACACAATGTGTGATTTTCGTTACACATAGCACAAACTCTTAGTTTCGTAGAAGTCGCAGTATCATTAGTACTCGTAGATAAGTGAACAGCGTATTCCCTTCTTCTAAGTGTTGGTCGTTCTCTGGTTGGCGGCGTGACAAGCTCAAGAGTGCGGAATTTTAACTGTAAAAATTTATTGAGTACGTCCCATGTAGGTAATCGGTCGGCAGACCACCCCACATGTCGGTCACCTCGTGAGCCTGGTCCAGATGTTTTGTTTGCTTCGGCTTTCACGAGGTTCTCGTCATACGGAATGGTAATATACCAAAAATATCCTTGACTGTGCCCGATCCATCAGCACAATATCAGGCTTATTCGCAAGAATAGTCCTATCTGTGATGATGGCCCGGTCCCAATAGAGCCTGGCGCGATCATTTTCGAGCACGGCTTCCGGCAAGTACTTATAATACGGCAATTTCCGATCCACGAGACCGTATTTCAGACCGAGCTCCTGGTGAAGAATTCTGGCTACTAGGTTGTGTCTGTGCAAGTACTCAGAGTTAGAAAGCGCCGAACAACCGGAGATGACATGCCTAAGTGACTCACCGGGATGGCGACAAGCTCGACAGATGTCGACGGTGCCATCCTTTACGATGTATCTCCGATAGTTGGTCTTAATAACCTGTATTGATCAGACAAAACCCTCGGTTTCCCCGAAGAGGTCACCAAAGCGTAGCCAGTGGAGGGAGGCTACTTTGTCTACGAAAGTCTCATGTAGAGCCTTGTAGAACCTCCCGTGGAGCTCCTTCTCCTTCCATACGGTCTCCCGGTCAAAAATGCTCTGTACTGACGGGTCTTGCCATTGCTCGTTGGCTAAGGATAGAGGGGTAAGTCCCTTATCACAAGAAATGACGTCCTTATAGAATGGATCATCCGATCTCGCCAGGAAGTAATTACGGAGGCTGCACACTTCGCGATTATGCATGGTGAGCGCGCTCAAGAAGCCACGCCCACCATGCTTTCGCGGCAAGTACAGCCTCATTACCGACGATCTCGGATGATGCATCCTATGAGACGTCATGGTGGTACGGATTTTCGATCCAGGGCGTTAAGTTCAGTCTGAGTCAACCTGAGTATGCCAAAGGTATACACGAGGACAGCGTTATTTTACAACATTAAGCATGCCCCAACCGTTATATGCGTGTGTCTTATTCACACCGGACAAAAGGCTATTAAGCACTTTGGTCAAGCGTGCATAAAACACGTCGCAAACTGACTGTTTCATACCAGCCTCATCGATACCGATGTTCTGTGACATATCCAGGTATCGGTATGTTTCAGCCTCGGAAAGGGTCCTTAAGTTGACGGGCATAGATAAGTCTATGCCCTCAGAGTTAGCAACCCTTCCCCTTTCAACATGGAGGACCGCACACTTATCCGTCCCCAGCTCCATTCCAATGGAATTGCTAAATTCACAAGTGATGTTTAGCAATTCCATAAGATGGGAGCGACTGGAGGCGAATAACTTCAGGTCATCCATATAGTAAAGGTGGATCACTTCTGTCCCTCCTTTCCGTATCTGAAATGCCCTCCTGGAGCCCTCCAATAAGGTACTGAGAGGGTTCAGAGAGAGGCAGAACCAGATTGGACTCAGACAATCCCTGGAAGATTCCCTTTCCTTATGTGGATTTCCGCAGCCATCATCCGCTCGCGCAGATAACAAAGATCGTACTCCACTGCCCGATACACTGCTCGAGGAAGTCTCTAACTGTACAGTCTATCTTGTACAGCTCGAGGACTCTCTTTAGCCATGTATGGGGCACCGAGTCGAATGCCTTCCTGTAGTCTATCCAGGCGGCGGAGAAGTTTCGACGGTGCGTTTCACCATTTTGCCAATAACCGCGTCAATGAGGAGAGGTTCCTTGGTTCCACGACCACTGCCCCGACATTAATGTTGAGCGCGCGACATCACCTGATTTAAATCCAGGTGACGAGTGAATCTCGCGCTCATAATGGATGTTAGTGTCTTGTATATGGTCGGTAGACACGTGAATGGGCGGTATTTACGCGTGTCTGTGGTACCCTGGTCTTTAGGAACCAAATGGCTGATTCCAGTAGTGAAGAGGCTCGGAAGCGACTTCTGGTTGAGAGCCTCTTGAAACTGTCGGGCGAGCACAGTGTGACACACCACGAACCCCTTCAGCCAGTAGTGACGCTGATGCCCGTCGACCCGGACTTTTCCAGTTCGGGGCCCTACGGACCGCCTCAGCTACGTCATCCGATGTTATAATGACGGGGTCCATGGGCGTTATACTCGCACACTGACTCGCCACAACTTCCGTCCAAGGGCCCTCGCTGTAGTTTACGGGCTCTGACCACAGGCTGCGCCAGAATGCTACAGTGTCGGCCTAATTTGGTGCTGGGCCCGTTCCACTTACCATTGGCCGCTCCAATGATTCATAGAGCATCTTCTGATCACTCTGGAAGAGACGATTCTGGTTGAACCGTGTTGACCTCTCGGTATATCTGTGTAGAAAAGCACAACGATGCAATATCCACGAATCAGTACAAGATCCCGACCCTGCTAGGGTCTGGAAATTTCTTAAGTCTTTAGGAGTTGGGAAATCACGACAAAATCTCACACACCATAACTTTGATCTCAATCAACTTAATTTGCATTTCTCATCTTAGTCTTGCATTAACGATAAAGCAAAACATAATACTTTGGATTCTCTTTCAAAAGCTCCCCTGGACACCTCTGCTTTTAATTTTAGCCAATTTAACAGTTGTGTTGTTAAGAGAGCGATAATGTCCATCCATTCAAATTCGATTGGTAGTGACTGCATTAGTCGGAAAATGGTCATCCCTCTCATTGATCTCTTTTTACCTGTAATCGCCTCTATCCTGAATAATTCACTGAATTCTCCTCAGTTCCTTTTTTCCCTTCAGCTTGGAAAGACGCATTTGTAGTTCCTCTTCCGAAAAAATCAAATCCCTCTAGTTTTTCTGATTATAGACATATCTCTATTTTGCCTTTCTTTTCCAAAGTTCTAGAACGTCTTGTGCACAATCAATTAAGCACCTATCTCTTAAAACACAATCTTTTAAATCCCTTGCAATCCGGTTTCCGTCCTGGCCATAGTACGACTACTGCACTTTTACAAATCACTGATGATATTCGGTATGGTATGGTGAAACAAAAGCTTAACATTCTCACGTTGAATGATTTTAGTAACGCATTTAATACAGTAGATTTTGATATCTTGTTAAGCATCCTGCGCTCTCTCAACATATCTCCAACTGTAGTTGACTGGTTTCGAAGTTACTTGTTCGGTCGTCGATAGCGAATTCAGGTGCAAGATGTTTTTTCCACCTGGACTACTACAGCTGCTGGTGTACCACAAGGTGGCGTATTGTCTCCTCTCCTTTTTGCAATTTTCATTAACTCTATAAGTCATAATTTGTCCTCTTCCTACCACTTGTATGCTGATGATCTCCAAATCTATACTCAGTCCTCTCTTGAAGATCTATCTAAAGCAGTTGACACTATTAACGCTGATCTCACTTGTATTTCGAATTGGAGTAAATGTTATGGTTTAACGATTAATCCTAAGAAAACTCAGGTCATTGTCATCGGTAGTTCTAGATTAATTGGTAAAATTGACTGGTCTTCCCTACCCCCTATTATACTAGACTACACTCTAATCCCTTACAGTAACAAGGTTAAAAACCTGGGGTTGTATCTTGACTCCTGTAAGTCTTGGACCTCACAGGTTAATGAGGTCAGTAGAAAAATGTTTGCTGCGTTAAGCTCTTTACGTAGATTACGTAATTTTCTTCCCTCAGCAACTAAAGTTACGCTCGCCCAGTCTCTACTTCTGCCTATCCTTGACTATGCTGATATTTGCTATCTTGACATTACTATGATCATATCTCTGAGTTTCGCAAACAGCTCAAATGGCTCCCGATCCGCCTTCGCAGGAATATTCGCATTCTCTCCGCGTTGTATAGCGTGCTGTTTAATCCTTCCACTCCTCTTTATTTAAAAAACCGTTTCCAGTATCTTTCTCTTATCCATAATCGGATCCTTCGATCCTCCGTCAATCTTTCTCTCTCTACTTTTCTATGCTGTTTTGGAACTCTTACCTCTCCATATTTGCTATAAGTAATAAATCTTCTTCTTTTCATTAAATAAATATATCTTTTTGCCGAATCCTACTTTTGTTTGCATTCCCCTCCTGTGCTGAAGCAGCGATTCTTATAGTTTTACTGCTTCAGATAATTTAATATATATCCCAATCCGTTTTCCTATGCGCTCCGTCAGTTTTTGTATTATATCCGGCTGGGACAAACTGACATTTGTCCCAGCAAACGCCATCCTGACGGTGCGCACAATTCTTGGCCTGTTATTGCCTGATCTGAAGCATGTCGGTCTGCCGATGAGAGCTCTAGCCTTTGCGATACGTTCCTCAATTCTTCTTCTTCATGCTGGAATAGCGCTACTTTGGCCAGTAGCGCGTCCAGCCGTGGTAACCTTGGCGCCTATAGTGAGGCAGAGTGCCAGCGCGACGCCAAAAAGAATTGAGTCCGTCTCGCAAAGGTACCGGCTGGCTTCCAAATAGGTCACCAGCATTGCGTTCAGAGCCCTCACGACAGCCCGATTCCGCTTACTCAGGGCTATGCGGGGAAGTCGCGGTCGATTTTCGAGAGGCGTACTGCGCGTTTCCACAATCGCCTCTTCCAATGTACTCCTCATTTGCTCTATTTCTAGTTCCTGGGTGAATGTTCCATCATAATTTGAATCAACAACCACTGGGATATTCACGGCGGCATCCACGTGTGCGGGTTGTTCTGCAACTTGTGGCACCGCATCCTCAGTCGTAGCATTTTCATTTGATGAGGGAACAGCCTCACGTCGTAGCTGTTCGAGTTCGGCGCCATCAAATATATTTGAGCGTAAGTTATTATTATTATTATTGGCGTATCTGTATAGTTTTCTCATCTGGTTGGTTTCTATAAATATATAATTATGAATTAAAATGAAAAGATAAATATATATAAATATCAATAAAATAAAATAAATACAAAAAATACACAAATAAATAAAATCCAACCAGATGGAAGCCCTCGGCAGGGGAGACCAAACGGCCGAGGGTTAGGAGGAAAGGGAAAGAAAACCGACGAACGATGCGGGCGGTATCGAGGACCACTGCCTTCTGCATTTGAGCCCGGAGCGGTCCGTCACGGAGTCCCAGTCCATTAGCCCATTCGCAGAGACGACTACAGGAAAAATTTCGGTCGGCCGACCACCCCACATGTCGGTCACCTCGTGAGCCAGGTCTAGATATTTTGTTCGCTTATCTGTTTCGGCTTTCACGAGGTTCTCGTCATACGGAATGGTAATGTCGACCAAAAATATCCTTGACTGTGCCCGGTCCATCAGCACAATATCAGGCTTATTCGCAAGAATAGTCCTGTCTGTGATGTTGGCCCGGTCCCAGTAGAGCCTGGCGCGGTCATTTTCGAGCACGGCTTCCGGCAAGTACTTGTAATACGGCAATTTCCGGTCCACGAGACCGTATTTCAGAGCGAACTTCTGGTGTAGAATTCTGGCTACTAGGTTGTGCCTGTGCAAGTACTCAGAGTTAGAAAGCGCCGAACAATCGGAGATGACATGCCTAAGTGACTCCCCGGGATGGCGAAAAGCTCGACAGACGTTGACGGTGCCATCCTTTAGGATGTATCTCCGATAGTTATTGGTCTTAATAACCTGATCCTGTATTGCACAGACAAAACCCTCGGTTTCCCCGAAGAGGTCACCGAAACGTAGCCAGTTGAGGGAGGCGACTGTGTCTACGTGAGGCTCATGTAGATGTTACCTCCCGTGGAGCTCCTTCTCCTTCCATACGGTCTCCCGGTCGGAAATGCTAAGCACTGCTGGGTCCCGCCATTGCTCGTTGGCTAAGGATAGAGGGGTAAGCCCTTCACTAGAAATGACGTCATTATAGAATGGATCATCCGATCTCGCCAGGAAGTAATGACGGAGGCTGCACACTTCACGATTATGCATGGTGAGCGCGCTCAGAAAGCCACGCCCAACATGCTTTCGCGGCAAGTAAAGCCTCATTACCGACGATCTCGGATGATGCATCCTATGGGACGTCATGGTAGAGCGGACTTTTCTATCCAGAGCGTTAAGTTCAGTCTGAGTCCACCTGAGTATGCCAAAGGTATACATAAGGACAGGCATGACCTAACCGTTATATGCGTGTGTCTTATTCACACCGGACAAAAGGCTATTAAGCACTTTGGTCAAGAGTGCATAAAACACGTCGCAAACTGACTGTTTCCTACCAGCCTCATCGATACCGATGTTCTGTGACATACCCAGGTATCGGTATGTTTCAGCCTCGGAAAGGGTCCTTAAGTTGACGGACATAGATAAATCTATGCCCTCAGAGTTAGCAACACTTCCCCTTTCAACATGGAGGACCACACACTTATCCGTCCCCAGCTACATTCCAATGGAATCGCTAAATTCACAAGTGATTTTTAGCAATTCCATAAGATGGGAGCGACTGGAGGCGAATAACTTGAGGTCATCCATATAGATATAAGGTGAGTCACTTTTGTCCCTCCTTTCCGTAGCTGAAATCCTCTCCCGGATCCCTCCAGTAATGTACTGAGAAGGTTCAGGGAGAGGCAGAACCAGATTGGACTCAGACAATCGGCCTGGAAGATATCCCTTCTTATCCTTATGTGGTTCTCCGCAGCCATCACCCGCTCACCCAGATGACAAAGGATCGTACTCCACTACCCCACACACTGCTCGAGGAAGTCTCTCACTATACAGTCTATCTTGTACAGCTCGAGGACTCTCTTTAGCCATGTATGGGGCACCGAGTCGAATGCCTTTCTGTAGTCTATCCAGGCGGCGGAGAAGTTCCGACGGTTGCGTTTCACCACTTTGCCAATGACCGCGTCAATGAGGAGTGGTTCCTTAGTTCCACGGCCACCGCCCCGACATCCATTTTGAGCGCGTGACATCACCTGATTTAGTTCCAGGTGACGAGTGATTCTCGCACTCAAAATGGATGTCAGTGTCTTATATATGGTGGGTAGACACGTAATGGGGCGGTATTTGCTCGGGTATGTGGTAACCTGGTCTTTAGGAACCAAATGAGTGATCCCAGTATTGAAGAGGCTAGGTAGCGACTTCTGGTTGAGAGCCTCTTGAAACTGACGGGCGAGCACAGCGTGACACAACGTGAACCCCTTCAGCCAGTAGTGATGCAGCCCGTCGAGTCCCGGATATTTCCAGTTCGGGGCTCTACGGACCGCCTCAGCTACGTCATCCGGCGTTATGATGACGGGGTCCATGTGCGTAATTATTATTATTATTTTGGGGTATCTATATAATTTTCTCACCTGGTTGGGTTCTATAAATATATAATTATGAATTAAAATGAAAAGATAAATGTACATAAATATCAATAAAATAAAATAAATACAAAAACTACATAAATAAATAAGATCCAACCAGATGGGAGCCCTCGGCAGGGGAAGACCAAACGGCCGAGGGTTAGGGGGAAAGGGAAAGAAACCGGCGGACGATGCGGGCGGTATCGAGGAGCACCGCCTTCTGCATTTGAGCCCGGAGCGGTCCGTCACGGAGTCCCAGTCACCTCGCATGACCCGAGAGGCTGACTGGGTTAGCCCATTCGCAGAGACGACTACAGGAATAATTTCGGTCGGCATACCACCCCACATGTCGGTCACCTCGTGAGCCAGGTCCAGGTATTTTGTTCGTTTATCTGTTTCGGCTTTCACGAGGTTCGCGTCATAGGGAATGGTAACGTCGATCAAAAATATCCTTGACTGTGCCCGGTCCATCAGCACAATATCAGGCTTATTCGCAAGAATAGTCCTGTCTGTGATGATGGCCCGGTCCCAGTAGAGCCTGGTGCGGTCATTTTCGAGCACGGCTTCCGGCAAGTACTTGTAATACGGCAATTTTCGGTCCACGAGACCGTATTTCAGAGCGAGCTCCTGGTGTAGAATTCTGGCTACTAGGTTGTGCCTGTGCAAGTACTCAGAGTTAGAAAGCGCCGAACAACCGGAGATGACAATGCCTAAGTGACTCCCCGGGATGGCGACAAGCTCGACAGACGTCGACAATGCCATCCTTTAGGATATATCTCCGATAGTTGTTGGTCTTAATAACCTGATCCTGTATTGCACAGACAAAACCTTCGGTTTCCCCGAAAAGGTCACCGAAACGTAGTCAGTTGAGGGAGGCCGCTGTGTCTACGTGAGGCTCATGTAGAGCCCTGTAGTACCTCCCGTGGAGCTCCTTCTCCTTCCATACGGTCTCCCGGTCGGAAATGCTCTGTACTGCCGGGTCTTGCCATTGCTCGTTGGCTAAGGATAGAGGGGTAAGTCCTTTATCACTAGAAATAACGTCATTATAGAATGGATCATCCGATCTCGCCAGGAAGTAATGACGGAGGCTGCACACTTCGCGATTATGCATGGTGAGTGCGCTCAGGAAGCCACGCCCACCATGCTTTCGCGGCAAGTACAGCCTCATTACCGACGATCTCGGATGATGCATCCTATGGGACGTCATGTAGTACGGACTTTTCTATCCAGGGCGTTAAGTTCAGTCTGACTCCACCTGAGTATGCCAAAGGTATACATGAGGACAGGCATGACCCAACCGTTATATGCGTGTGTCTTATTCACATCGGACAAAAGGCTGTTAAGCACTTTGGTCAAGCGTGCATAAAACACGTCGCAAACTGACTGTTTCATACCAGCCTCATCGATACCGATGTTCTGTGACATACCCAGGTATCGGTATGCTTCAGCCTCGGAAAGGGCCCTTAAGTTGACGGGCAAAGATAAGTCTATGCCCTCAGAGTTAGCAACCCTTCCCCTTTCAACATGGAGGACCGCATACTTATCCGTCCCCAGCTCCATTCCAATAGAATTGCTAAATTCACAAGTGATTTTTAGCAATTCCATAAGATGGGAGCGACTGGAGGCGAATAATTTGAGATCATCCATATAGAAAAGGTGGGTCACTTTTGTCCCTCTTTTCCGAAGCTGAAATCCTCTCCCGGAGCCCTCCAGTAAAGTACTGAGAGGGTTCAAAGGGAGAGGCTAAACCAGATTCGACTCAGACAGTCGCCCTGGAATATACCCCTTCTTATCCATATGCGGCTTTCCGCAGCCATCATCCGCTCGCCTAGATGACAGAGGATCGTACTCCACTGCCCCCTACACTGCTCGAGGAAGTCTCGAACTGTACAGTCAATCTTGTACAGCTCGAGGACCCTCTTTGGCTATGTATGGGGAACCGAGTAAAAAGCCTTTCTGTAGTCTATCCAGGCGGCGGAGAAGTTCCGACGGTTGCGTTTCACCACTTTGCCAATGACCGCGTCAATGAGGAGTGGTTCCTTGGTTCCACGACCGCCGCTCCGACATCTATTTTGAGCGCGCGACATCACCTGATTAGAGTCCAGGTGACGAGCGATTCTCGCGCTCAAAATGGATGTCAGTGTCTTGTATATAGTGGGTAGACACGTGGTGGGGCGGTATTTGCTCGGGTATGTGGCACCCTGGTCTTTAGGAACCAAATGAGTGATCCCAGTAGTGAAGAGGCTTGGGAGCGACTTCTGGTTGAGAGCCTCTTGAAACTGTCGAGCGAGCACAGCGTGACACACCATGAACCCCTTCAGCCAGTAGTGATGCAGCCCGTCAAGCCCCGGACTTTTTCAGTTCGGGGCTCCACGGACCGCCTCAGCTACGTCATCCGGCGTTATGATGACGGGGTCCATGGGCGTAATACCCGCACACTGACTCGCCGCAACTTCCGTTCAAGGGCCCTCGTTGTGGTTTACGGGCACTGACCACAGGCTGCACCAGAATGCGACCGTGTCGGCCTGATTTGGTGCAGGGCCCGTTCCACTTACTATTGGTCGCTCCAATGATTTATAGAGCCTCTTCTGATCACTCTGGAAGAGACGGTTCTGGTTGAACCGTGTCGACCTCTCGGTATATCGCCGAATCCGCTTTCCCCAAGCAGCTATTCTTTGCTTCAGGTCGTCTATACGCTCCGTCAGTTTTTGCATTATATCCGGCTGGGACAAACTAACATTTGTCCCAGCAAACGCCATCCTGACGGTGCGCACAATCCTTGGCCTGGTATTGCCTGACCTGAAGCATATCAGTCTGCCGATGAGGGCCCTAGCCTTTGCGATACGTTCTTCAATTCTTAATCTCCAGGCTGGGATAGCACTACTTTGTCCAGTAGCGCGTCCAGCCGTGGAAAGTTTGGCGCCTATAATACGGCAGACTGAGTGCGGCGAAGAATTGAGTCCGTCTCGCAAAGGTCCCAGCTGGCTTCCAAATAGGTAACCAGCATTGGGTTCAGAGCCCTCACGACAGCCCGATTCCGCTTGCTTAGGGCTAAGCGGGGAAGTCGCGGTCGATTTTCGAGAGGCGTACTGCGCGTTTCCACAATCGCCTCCTCCAATGTACTCCTCATTTGCTCTAGTTCCAGTTCCTGGGCGACTGTTCCATCATCGTTTGAATCAACCACAACTGGCGTATTCACGGCGGCATCCACATTTGCCGTTTGCTCAGCAAGTTGTGGCGCCGCATCCTCAGCCGCAGCATTTTCACCCGATGAAGGAACAGCCTCACGTCGTAGCCGTTCGAGTTCGGTGACATCAAATGTATTTGAGCGCAAGATATACCGAACTCGGTCTGCCAGGTTTTGCTCGGTGACGGTTACAGATGGCTCCAGCTCAGCAAAAAGTCGATGCATCCTTGCCCGATACGCAAAACCTCCAGGTTCTCCCCCTTTCGTCTTAAAATATGCCCGCAATGCGTTGCTGTTCATCTGGGTTGTCCAACGCATGCGGCGTACTCCACCAGTGGCGGGTGCCGATTGCTGGGCCCGCAAAGACCCTGCCGACACCAAACCAGCTGGTGGGGATGATGGATGCGAGGGGCTGCTGGGTGGTCGTGCAGCACCTCGCGCTCGGCTGGCGGTTCGCACGCTGTCGCGTCCAGCGTCAGCTCCAGACGCGCCCTGGCGACCTCCAGGCAGCGGCCCTTTACGCGTTCTTCCGTATTCCATCATCCATAGTGGTTGGCGTCATTTAGCGGGAGACGCCCAGACCCGGTGCCGTTTCATGGTGAGGCCATGAGTACAAGCGGGCCTTTGCACCTTCAATTTTTGCCGAGGCATGGCACTAACACCTCTCGGCAAGGTGCTGACTGACTGCTTATTATTATTATTATTATAAACGATCAGTGTCGATGAAAAACAGTTCTCGTAAGCCAATTCAAACACACCCGTTTACACGCTTGTACGTGTGGAGGCTTTATTTGAACTGTCGAGCGTGTAAACTAAGCATCAGATAGCACGGGCAGGCGCAGGGGCCAAGATCGTCCAATACCTCTCGGTAGAGATTACTGTTTTGTGCTTTTAATAGTGTTCTGTGCCCGATACCTTCGTGTGCCGGAACAATAAAGCTTATAAAATATTAAATGCGTGCTGGTGTGTAAAAATACTCAAAGTCAGATAGCGCCCAACATGGAGGTAAAATAATAATAATAATAAATCAATAATAATTTATAATTTATATGTGTAATAATTTGTAATAATTAAAATTATATAGTGTGTAAGTGTAAACACCGTTGTCACTGAAATCATAGGTAGTTAGTTAGTAGGCTTTAATATAAAAATATTTTTCCGATTTTTAAAAAAAAATGCTATTTTCTTTTATAAAATTTAAAAAGTTTCTGTCCGACACGCTCCGTAAATTCATGGATACCCTATGCGCCCGAGTGACGTAATCACTGTAAAGATCACCACCCGCCCTTGCTACCTACACAACATTTCAATAAAAACACAATGGTACACATAACCTATGATGTAACTTTTCCTTCATACTTTCATACTGGCTTAGGACAGTTAAAAATTCCTACCCTTTGTGTTGCGTGACGATTCCAAATTAATGTAAGTTAGATTTAACAACAAAGAAAATTAAACGTTAATAATAGTAAATCATTAGGTAGGATTTTTTAAGACACATCAATGTATTTATTTAGCGGAAGGTTGCGAAGAATTTTATATTTTTGTTTTTTTTTTTATTATAATGAATTTTCGCAAAGTAACGCCTGATTCTATCAATTGGCTTTTATATTAATCGTAAAAGCTGTTCAAAATGGGATCCATTTACGGCCACGCATGCCTCCGCACGTTTCCCTAAATTGTTTCGCAGTCTAGGAAGCACAACAGTGTAATTTCTTAAGTCTCTAAACACACTAAGAATTCGCCTTTTGAGTTCCGACGTATTACGGAACTTAGTTGCATACTCGGCGCTTCACTTCTCCCCAAAGATAAAAGTCCAGCGGGGTAAGGTCGGGCGAACGCGCTGGCCACGCCACTGGCCCTCCACGTCCTATCCATCGCCCAGGAAACTCCTCATCCAGCATAGCCCTGATTTGCAGCTGAAAATGTGCAGGGGCAACATCATGTTGGTAGTAGAGGTTTCTCAGTGAACGAAGAGGCACATTTTCCAACATCCTGTCGAATACATGTCGTAAAATAGCCATGTACGACTGTGCATTCAAATAGCCGTCAATAAAATAGGGTCCAAGAAGTTTGCCATCTAGAATTCCCGCCCACACGTTTACGGAAAAACGGTTTTACTGTATTCGGTGCTAGTTTACCCGACTTCAGTAATGTTCATTACGAACGTTGTAAATGCCCGACCTTGTAAACACTGCTTCGTCCGTAAATAAAATGGAAACGTTATCAAAGTTTTGAATTAGCCATTGCGAAAATACCACCCGCGGTATGTGTTCGTTTTCATTTAACTCTTGAACCGGCTGAAAATGACACGGATGTTGACAATCAATGTGTAGAATTTTCCAAATTGTCCAGTGAGAAACGCCGAAAATACAGGTTGCCCGCCTGGTACTCTCCTCTGGGTTCTCCGCGAAAAAAATCCAAGATACGTTCTTGAAGGGTAACTGGCAGCTGCTGGTTCCCACGCCCCTGAGCATGAACCGACACGATAAACTGTCCATAGCTACGTAACCTTTGCGTGGCCGCCAACAAAGTTTCACGATTTGGCACAGGTTGTCCAGGGAGTAATTCTGCGTACATTCGTCGAGCCTCGTTCACGTTGTCACCAGCTACGGCATAAAGTCGGACCATTTCGGTCCATTGCACGTTTGTGTAGGACATAATTACAAACTAAAACACACTCGCACAAAAACTACAACTAGGTACCTAAAACACAAATAAGCGGCGTAAAATGTCGTAAATCAAATTTACACGTGCATTCGCTACCGACGCAGCGACCGACTGACACACTGAAACAGTGACGCTATGGACTGATGGCTGATGGCCTTGACCGCTGTGCTGCGCGCGAGATCCCGCGCAAATCGCTGCCGCTACGATATGTTTACTGGAATTTTGTATATGCCTACTTGCCTAGGGTGAAATAATTGTAAGGAAAAATTGAGATTTGACTAAAAAAAATGTTGTTATTTTTCATTGAATTTACGTTCTATAAGTGAAACCAAACCACTGGTTTCAAGGATAACGGTGCTTACACTAACACCATGTATATAGCGCTTCATTTATTTTGTCCATATTTCTGGGATACTATTTTCTACAGCGATCGTTCTCCTGATCTCTAACCTCCATGTTGGGCGCTATCTTACTTTGAGTATTTTAACACACCAGCATGCATTTAATATTTTATAAGCGTTATTTATTGATGTTTCTTTTTGTCAAAAATTAAAAAATTACTTCGCAGATACTATTTACCGACGGCAGAGCGTCTATAAATTCTTCAAATTTTCAGGGACAGGAGGGCTATGCTTTAGCACGTAGGGTGCTTGATCGTTCCCCTGTTCTCTAACCTTCATTACGCCCAAATTCTGGAAATGACATATGCATGAAAACCTTGCAAAACAGTAAAATTACTACTATGTACGGCTGCATTATCTGTTTATTATGTCATAGGGGCTTAACTACTGTGACGTAACAATGCTACCAGATTTAGCAGCATACTACAAATTTAGCAGAATTACAACGCTAAGGGAGCGGTAATTGTGAGATTATAATATATGATTACATTATTTATGAACAAAGTATTCAAGTTCTTAATATTGTGCTGGGCAAACCAGTACTTTAAATTAATATTTTGTTTAATCCGTCTTTACTGTTGTTTTTTTTTTTATAGGATAGGGAGCAAACGAGCATACGGCTCACCTGATGGTAAGTGATTACCGTCGCCCATGAACAGCTGCAACACCAGGGGGATTGCAGATGCGTTGCGGGCCTTTTAAAAAGGAATAGGTTCTTTTCTTGAAAATCCATAAGTCGTATCGGTCCGGAAACATCTCTGGTGGTAGTTGATTCCACAAGGAAGTTGTGCGAGGAATAAAACTTCTTTTAAATCGCTTAGTGGTGGACCACCAGTCATCCAGATGATATGGATGGTATCGCGAGTTTTGTCGCGATGTGCGATGGTGAAACTGTGCGGCTAGAATTAATCCGAACAATTCCTCAGAGCACTCCCCGTGGTAGATGCGATAAAATACGCAAAGAGATGTAACATCTCTTCGCAGTGCCAGTGAGTCAAGCCGATCGGAAAGAGCTCGGTCGCTGACGATTCGGACTGCTCTGCGCTGGATGCGATCGAATGAAAGGAGCTTGCACTGGGGAGCCCCGGCCCAGAGATGGGAACATTATTCCATGTGTGGCCGAACCTGCGCCTTGTAAAGTTGCAGGCGGTGAGCCGGCATGAAATACTATCCCGCTCTGCTGAGCACGTCAAGCTTTTTAGAGGCCAATTTGGCCTTCTCTTCCAAGTGACCACAAAACTGCACGTCACTTGATATGTCGATGTTGAGGATTCTGATACTGGCTGAGGCAACAACGGAATTGCCCTGAAACTGAGGAGATGCGACGAAGGGGTACTTTTTAGCGATAAACGCGCAAACTTGTGTCTAGGGATTAAACTGGACTAGATTTAGTCGCCACCAGTCCGAGATTTTGTTCAACAAAGTCTCGACTTCAGAAACAAAATTGTAACGGTACTCGGCGACGTTTTCCCGAGAAATATTGTTACGGCCGGTGTATAAAGCATCACCAGTGCTGTCGTTTGCATAGCAAAGAATGCTACCAATTTGCAACATTTCATTGATATAAAGCAGAAACAGCGTTGGTGATAGCCACAGCCCTGTGAAATACCAGCGTTAATGGGCTTGTAATTGGAGCATGCGCCGTCTACTACGATCTTGATGCTCCGATCAGCAAGAAAACTGGTGATCCAATTGCACAATTTCTGGGGAAGCCCATAGGGAGGAAGCTTCGTAAGAAGCGCTTTGTGCCAAACTCGATCGAAGGCCTTCGCTATGTCCAAACTAACGGCCAACGCCTCGCCCTTGCACTCTACTGCTTTCGCCCATTTATAAGTTAGGTAACCTAGAAGATCACCAGCTGAACGACCGCGACGGAAACCGTATTGGCGTTCACTAATCAATGGTCACAAATCATCACTAACTTGGTGATCCTCAAGGTACCGCATGAGCTGGCTGTTGATAATAGCTTCCATTATTTTGGAGAACAAGGAGGTGATGGCGATAGGCTTATAGTTGGATGGATCAGAGCGGTAACCTTTTTTAGGGATCGTGTGCACAAAGGCTGTCTTCCATGATTTCGGGACTACGCCTAGGGAGTAGGAGTACCGGAAAAAATGCGTTAGGACCGGTGCCAACTCCGGAGCATACGTCTTCAGCACAATAGGAGAGAGGCCCACTCGACTTGTTGATGACCAGGGAGCACCGAGCGTTGGGTAAACAGCACATCCTGCATGGAGCACTCACACTGCGGGATGGTTGGCGGTGTGTTCCTCCCATCATCAATAGTCGAGTTTGACGCAAAGAGAGAGCCCAGTAGATCGGCTTTGTCGTTTTCGGCATGGGCCAGTGAGTCGTCCCAAGATTGTTTAGTCTCCCTGCGCAGAGATGGTAGAGATGGCTGGTAGAAGTTCCCTTGGATAGCCTTGGCGAGAGACCAGAATGTACGTGTTCCTGAAGGAAGACGAACTAGTTTCTCGCCAATTCTGAGTTTGCCTTGACAATGACACTTTTGAAGGACGTGGAAGCAGAATTATACTTCTTTTTAAGAACGCTGGTATTTACATCCCGAGACGTCGATGCGCGAGCCCATGCCTGGTAGCACTCCTGCTTATGCAATTTTGCAGGAGCGACCAAACCAGGGTTGGATTCTGCCTGCGATAGGTATCACAGTTCATATAATAAATAGTTCCATTCCCTGTAGCAGCACATCAGCGACAGAATCAGCAACAACACCGGGATCATCTGGCGAGAAGCAAAGTCGCCTCCAAGGGTAGGATGCAAAAAAGATCGCATCCCGTCCCAATTAGCTGACCTATAATGCCAAACATGGTGGCAACCTGCAGTACGCAACCGCGATGGGAGCGTGAGTGGCACCGTACTGCGGATCAGACAATGGGCCGAGGAGCCAAGAGGGGCATCAACGGAGACCTGATATCCGTCCGGATGAGAGGCCAGCAGAAGGTCCAACAGGGAAGATAGATGATCTTCCACATCTGGGATCCGCGTAGGCGAGGTAACCTATTGTGTCAGACCATATGCCAAAGTAAAGTCATAAACAGATCTACCCGCAAGATTGGTTAAACGAGAACCAAGCTAATCAGCATGGTGGACGTTAAAATCACCAAGTATCACGATCTCTGCGGATGGGACCTGTTGTAGCATGGAGTGTGCACCTGGACGTGGTCCATTTGTCGGTCTGTGTCGGCATTACCGCTACGACACCTATATAGGCACCGGTAGACACGCGGATGGTCATCGCTTTCTACGCGTAGCCGTAAGATGGGCAGGTCCGTACCTCGAAAACAGATGTCCTCTCTGACGTACACGCAAACTCCAGCCCGGGGCACAAAAGAGTGTTCTAATCTGTACCCCGAGTAGGAGAGATTTTATGTGTGAGCCGGAGAGGACACCTGTATCTCGGTTAGAAAGAGGCCGGCTTTGCCGTTTGCAGATGGTAGTAGACGGCGTTAAGGTTTGAATGAAGTCCCCTGATGTTGCAGAAATCCACGGATAGCGTGGCAATGGGTGCCTCTGACTTATTGCTCCGTTTGCCCCGAGCAGGTTTAGTCTCGAGCGAAATTTTGCCCATCCTCGGAATACAAGGGGCAGCCTGAGAATCCACGCTCAGAAAGAGTAGGGGAGTTTGGGCGTGGATGCTCAGCCAGGGATTCTCCGTCACCGTGGGGTGCTGGTACACTTCTGGGGTAGTCTTATATTTAACTCCGTTAACATGTTAAGGGGGGGGGGGTAAAATGGGGCTCCGGCCACCTACACTCACCAGACGAAATGCAGAAGCAAAGCTTCTACTCTTGGCTCTGCCACATGCAGCTTGTATTCTCAGACCAACTCTTATTCTCTTATTCTGAGCTTGTATTATTTTATAACAAAACAAAAACCCTTAACTTTGTTGTGCAAATATGAACAAAACCAAGCAGAATAAAATTTGACGAAAGTGTATTAAATTTTTGGGCCAGCTGCAGCAGCAATAATATTTTAGCACCTAAAAATACCATTTGGACCGTCGGTCTTTGGTAAATCAGCTACTGGTGTGTCCGATGATGGTAAGAAATACAAAAATACAAATACAAAAAACCTCGCACTTTTCACGGTTTTATTTGGCTGACTTTGAAAACTGACAAGATCCTCAATTTTCTTCCATTGTACATTCTTTTTTGTGTAGGTATGTTACCCGATATTCTTGTCAACTGAGAGCAAATCTTATTTACTCTTTTTTATTAATAAGTTTGTAAGATATTGGGGCTTTAGGAATGATTTCAAACAAATGTGGATAAAAAGTTTATCTCTCTGTAAGAAAATAGAGTTTGAATTTTCAATATAATTATTTTCAGCACATACTACTTGCTTGAGTTTAGCCCCAGAGTACCTTTGTATAGTTTAGCTGAACTTTTGATGTTCTTTCAGAAGGCTTAAACATTTTACTTTTAATAAAAAATATTTAACTCATGGCAAGTTCTGAGAAAATTATTTGGTAGCACCGGGCAGCACCCTGTATTTTCTCAAATGTCAATGTCATATTCATAGATTACTGTGTATATACTGGGTATGTTCCGAAATACAACGCAGTGTACTGTCCAATGCAAATGACGTATCATTTGACACTTTATTGTACTAGCGTGCCGCCGCCATATTGTGTCGGATATCCGGCCATAATAAAACAATTTTTAATTGTGTGTTTGCCGAATGAAGCATGCCAGAATTTGTTTCTATTTATTCAAATACAAAAAATTATAGAATAATTGATGCTATATCCATTAGGAGCATATAATGATTTTTGTAGCACAAAATGATAAAATAACTGCTAACACTTTTCCAAATGGCGCAAAAGTATGACGTCATACACTGTCCAATGTTTTGGAACGAATCACCAGTATAGCGTCGATTCATGACGTCATTTGTATTGGACAGTACACTGCGTTGTATTTCGGTACATACCCACTAGATACATATTTATCTGATTATAACTCATAATCATATTCATAGGTCATTATACGAAAGGAAAACAAATTTCACTTCATGTACCGAACTATTGCATTAGTTTGTGAATTAAGAAATATTCGAAAAAATTTTGCATGGGAAATCTTCGGAAACATAAAATATATTTTGGATTTAATCCCTAAAAGCCTTGGAAATAGATATAATAAATAAATAGAAGTTAAGTCACAGTGTTAAAAATTTAGTGTTCATATTTGACCATGCACGATGTTGGAGGGTTTGGTAGCTTGGGTCTTGAACAACTACCTTGGGAAGTATGTGGAGAACTTGAACACAGATCAACTAAGTGTAGCTTTACTGTCCGGTACGTTACATGGACTTATTTGTGAATTATCAACGGTCAAACCAATCTGGTAGTCTACAGGACTTCTATTATCCTGAAAAAAAAAACTGTATTATTCCATATTAATTGGAAGTATATATTCCATCCCTTAGTGATTTTTTAAAATGTAACTGTAAATGTATTTTCTTGGACGGGTGACAACTGAAAATAATCACATAAAAACTGCAGCCGTCCACCTGCCTGCCAAGTGTGACAAATACCTCCTCTCTATCTTGTAATCTAGAGGCAAGGTGTTATGTTTAGCAGTGGATTTTGATAGCATGTAATAATGATGATGGTGGTGATGATTGTTATTAATATGTACTTTTTAATTTCCAAACATGTAACATAAATGTTAAAGTGTAAAAGAAAATATAATTGATAAATTTAAATTTCAGTTTTTGTTTCTAAAGATAAATATGTACATTTTGTAGGGAAAGTAGAATTAGAGAACTTGCCATTAAAGAAAGATGCTTTGAGGCACTTGGGTCTTCCTGTGGAAATCAAAGCAGGATTTATTGGCAAAGTGCAGCTGCAAGTGCCTGTCCGGCAAATCCGATCGGCACCCTGGCTTATTGCCATTGAGAAACTTTACCTTGTGGCTGCACCAGTTAACTTGGATGAGGTATTTTTTTATTCTATACTGCTTTTAAAGATTTAGTAGTGACTAAAAAGCACATAGTGCATCTGAAGGAAAGTGGATTCTGTGGCCCTTAGACATTACGTTCATCCTCAATTAAGAACGAAAATGTAGTTGCATTGTCACCCCTGAGGACTGCGATGGAATGTCTCATATACACTTACCATATGAAACAAAGAAGCCTCAAACTGCTATTTTATGATTTATTGTCAAAAGTATGGCCTTGAAGAAGTTACAAAGGATTTAACATACTTTTTGCTATTTATCAAATGACATAATTCTACAATTTATCACTTTTATGTTTTTAAAGTACATGCTTATATCAGAAAATTTATTTAATACAATTAACAAAAAATATTAATTTTCATATATGTATCTTTATAACAATGATAAATGAATACAAGAATAACATCTTATGGCTTCTGAGATTTGAATAATATTCTGCATCTAAAAAGACTTGATCTTTTGCCAATAATGTGTTTTATTTTTAGCTGTGAATTGTAAATTGATATTAACTTTAATTATTTGATATTGGACATCTGACCGTTTATTTTCATAGTAAAATGTGTCTTTTAATTATAAGTTGTTGTGTAATGGCCGTGTAGGATAATCCACTAGCCTACATCAGATGTTGTAAGAGCTGACAGAGGGAAACAGGAAATGGGCGGCAGTGTTTTCCTGATAATAACTGAAAATAATTAAAAAACTGCTTTTACTAGCCTGTCTGGCAAGCTTGGCAACTATGGCGAAATCCTTCAATGAGGCGAGCTATGGGGAGGCCTATCTTCGGCAGTGAAACTTTGATAGTTTATAATGAAAGAATGTAATAATGAAATTATACAAAACATATTTTAATTTTAGCACATATTTATATTTATATACAAATTTATTACAAAACTTAACAAATTGCTCCAGTGCTCTCGTTATCAATTATTAAAGTTTTGCTTTGCATTATAAACATGCAGTTTTGGAAGTGAAGTTAGCATTTGCGCAGTTAAGCTCAAGGTAGTAATTAGTAAACTCTACATTTAAATTTATTTTGATAATTACATAACGGGGATAACAAACAGCTTTTTAATTTTTTTTATTAATAAAGAGTAAGGGTGACAAACGAGCACACAGTCCACCTAATAATAAGTCAGTGCTGTGGCCCATAGACTTCTACATTTATCCTCAGTTAAGAATCAAAATGCAGATGTGTGGCCACCCATGAGGACTAAGTTGGATTGCCTTGTTTTCAATAAAACGGATCTCCGGCTTTCTACATCCATCATTACCAACCACAGCAGTATTAAGCTCCTGTTTTATGCCAATGTTCCATGACATACATATTCTATATTTCAATTAACATGGTACTCTTAAGTTATTAATGATGGTGTATTTTATAAAAGTGGGACAGCACTGTGGAAGCAAACATTGCTCATGAGCGTAAGGTGGCATTGTTGGATGCATTAGAAGCGCAGTGGCGCGCTGAGTTTGAAGCTAGTGATGCTGGTTACTATGCCACTTCATACTCCTCATGGCTGAATTATGGAACTGGGTTTCTTGCCAACATTGTGGAGAACCTGCAGGTAAAATTGTGAATAAAAATGACAAGAAAAATATATACTTTTTTATTAAAAATAAGTAATAAGTATACATTGGTGTACAGTGTACACATAAATTAATCGGTTTATTAACTTTATGAATATGATTAATATCAGCGTTTTTTTTCATGATTTACTATAATGTTCATTTTAAATCTGGTACCTATCACATTATTTTCCACACACCCTAGGTCGAGTGGGAGAGAATGCCAAAAAGCATTAAGTCTGCTCTTTGTTAAACTTTTATTAAGGTGTACAATAAAAAAGTGTAAATAAATAAAAATAAAAATACATAAATACTAATAATACACAAAATACACATGGAAATCACATATGTGTTTAGAGTGTGTATACATTTAATTTTGTGTGCTTAACAGTTTGAATTGTAGGTAGTTTTTAATCATAATTCCCATGGATAATGTTTGTGACAACATACATGTTGTATTTTTACTTGTGATGAATGATGCTACTAGAAAAGAGGAAGTATGAGCTGTCCTAACATAAAATGTCAAGTTTTAACTAATTTATCGTATGACAAGCAAGAAGTTTTATTTAAATAAATTATGCAATGCAATAACATTTGTAAAAAATAACAATAAACATAATTATAACATACAATTTTTTTTCTATTAAAGTGTAAGGCAAGGTGACTTCATATCCTCAAAACTCTTAAACACTGCCTTTAAAGACATTTTCAAATTATCTAACTGGGAAAGATATGGTATAATCATCAATGGCGAGTACATCACTCTTCTTAGATTTTCCGACAATATAGTCATTGTGGTAGAATCAATGGAGGAGTTAATAGATTTACAGATAATGTGGCGTTCATGTCACATTTATGCCGATAGTTGTTTATTAGTTTTTCTACTAATTATACTGGATGACTTTTTTCCGTCTGGAAAAAAATAGTATGTAACATGTGAACATAGTACAAGCCAATGGCACTGATATTTTACAATTTTTTTCATTAACATATCATGAAATTGATCTATCAATAAATACTACTAATTTGAAATAAACTTTGGGTGCTAAAAAAAATAAAAACAATTTTTTTTAACCAAATAAATAAATCAATTAAAATCTATCGAAATTCAAATCATACGCAGTCCTTGTCACTGTAGGGTCACAGGCTCAAGTGCAAAGCTGCCCGAGTTCTCATTTTAATGACCTGTGATTAGCGGCGGCGTAATGTTGTGTGGTATTGTTTATGTTTTCGCGTTTGTATCGTAAATATGTACCAATACTCTAATGTAGAGTGTTAACAATGGCGAGATTTTATATCTTGTATGGTGAAAACTTAGACGGTGCGACGAATCGATATTTACCCGTGTTAGAATTTACAACGTGCACAACGAGCACTGGTGGAGTTTCCAAACCAAAATCAGAGTACATCCTCATCAAGTTCGTTTCAGTGTGAACGTTTGGGCGGCAATCATTAATGACCACATTATTAGTCCAATATGGATTGAAGGTCGATTGACGGGAGAAACTTATCTGCATATGATACGTTCCGTCATCGACACATTATTAGAAAACGTTCCTCTGAGCCATCTGCAAGGAATGTTCTTCCAGCACGATGGATATCCAGCTTAATACGCATATCTAGACACCCAATTCGGTGATAAGTAGATAGATCGCGGTTGACCTGTGAACTGGCCGGCGAGTTCACCTAACCTAAAACCTCTAGACTTTTATTTGTGGCCCAAACTAAAATGCTTAATGTGCACAGAAGAAGAACAAAGTTAACACTTGCACTAACGTGAAAGTTTAATAAACAATTTACAAAAACGTGCTAATTTGTGTTTATAAAGAAACTTTGATTGAAAATTGAAAAAAAAAAATTGAAAGACATTTTGAACTAAAACTAAGTCTCGGATTGGAGGCGACTAATTCTAGTCCAGTTTAACCCTTAGAAGACACAAGTTTGCGCGGTAACCTCTAAAAAGAACCCCTTTGTCGTATCTCCTCAGTTTCAAGGCACTCCCCTTGTTGCCTCAGCCAGTATCGGAATTCTCGGCGTCGACATATCGAGTGACGTGCAGTTTCGTGGTCACTTGGAAAAGAAGGCCAAATTGGCCTCTAAAAAGCTTGACGTGCTCAGCAGAGCGGGACAGTATTTCATGCCGGCACACCGCTTGCAACTTTACAAGGCACAGGTTCGGCCGCACATGGAATACTGTTCCCATCTCTGGGCTGGGGCTCCGCAGTGCCAGCTTCTTCCACTTGATCGCATCCAACGTGTATGCATGAGGAATCAGGCAGAGCTCTTGAGAGCGGCCACTTCGTTTTGACATCGACTTTTGTCAAGACGAATTAGAAATAAAATAGATTTTAAATAGTTTTTTAAAAAATCATTTTACGCTCCCGTAATCTTAACTATCTTTTAAAAATAAGATGTTGATGTCTGAGATGTTGCAGTATACGGTAGGCATAAAATTCGCAGGCGCCGTGCTGTTTAAAATTATTTTTAGTTCTATGCAAATGCCGTAGGCTGAACTGTTTTTATGTATTTTTTTGGATATTTGGAAATTTTGCCTATCAGATATATGTATTTTACAAAATACTTCGAGGATAGCTTCTATTCAACTTATACAAAAGACCATATTATTTTCTAGACGGTTAAAAATTTACCCAGTATACTAGTAAGCTACCTCTAAAAAAAACATTATACTTGTTTATTAGAAAAAAAAGGGGTACAAAGTAAAAATAATGAAAAAAATTACACATTTTAATCGGTAAGTTCACTTGCTCCGAAGTGGAAAATATTAATTTTTACTATTAACAAAACTAATAAAGATTGTCTTACGTTCATATTATAATTATAGGAATGTAAACGTTATTTTGCAGTTGAAGTTAAACGATGTCCACATACGCTACGAAGACGCAATTACGTGCGCACCGCAGTCGTTTGCGTGCGGACTAACGGTGGAGTCGTTGACGGCGGAATCATGTGACGCAAACTGGGTTCGCGGCTTTACGCTGCTACCCGAGCCCGATGGCTGTTCTTTTAAACTACTCGAGTTGCAGCAACTGGCCGTGTACTGGGATCCTATGCCCGTGCCAGCCGCTATGGTAGCTAACTCCACCCTAGCAGAATTGACGGTTGGTTTTCGTTATATTTAAGCACTTTTGTTCGGTGTTATTTTATTTTGAAACTAGACATATCAATAGTAAGTTCTCTCTTTACTCCTTTGCACTCTTCTTCCTTTTATTGTCACGGCTGTGCGTTTGTGGAACTTTTAACCTCTCCACGTTTGTTGTGCTAAATCTCTTCATTCTTTTAAAAGTCTTATGAAATAATAAATTGATTTACCTTTTTCGTAGGTGCTCTTTTCATTTTATTACTTTATCATCAATCTATCATCACCCCTCGCTGTCTTTTCTCGAGAGGTGCAAGATGTACTGTGAAACGTGCATATTTCATGCCAACTTAGCGATCTCAATAACATAGCACTTTCACGCGCCAGTACTCGGCGAGCAGTGCACTTTAAGCATTCATATCAAGCAGTCGTTTACTTTATCATTCATAATATCATATCAAATATATCATATCATAGCAGCTTTATAGCATTTATATCATCTGTCATCAAGTGTGGGAATTATATTATATTAAGTATTTACCTATGAAATTGCCGTTTTTTATGAAATAAGATAACGTAATTTTTTTCTACATTTTTTATTTATATTAATCAAAGTAATCACCTATGTAATCGATGCATGTTTGCCATCAGTAGTTACGTTGTACCAGTTCTGGCTCACTGAGTCAGAAGTGGTACAAGTACAACGTTCGTCGACTCACGATCCTAAAAAAAAAAAGGTTTTGGCATGCTCTGATCACGAATTTGCGGTCCATTTTTGTGTAGGATGCACGGTTCCTGAGATGTGCAGATCAATTAACTCTTATCTAATTGATATCCGGTGAGGGTCTCCACCGTCATTAGCGCTCCATTGTTCTTATCTATTGTTCATTGAATACCGTCATTATCTATTCGTGTGTCGGATTATCAGTGCTATTATATTGTACTCCTTTGTTCCTAACTGCAACGGTAACCTGAATCATCAATAAAATACATTACCTAATTTTGTTACAATTTTTTTTTATTATTTTTTATTTATTTACGAAATACAAAATCTTATCCACATCCACTAAAATATCGTTGTACAATGTGTTCCCTGTAAATATACTCGTAAAACTATGCATTGAACATCCCTGAAACTTATATAGCAAATATGTTAAGCAATATTCGCCACAAACTGAAGTCCACTCATTTGAATCCTATCAACATTCCAATTCCATCTTTTACAATTCCTTTTTAAAAACTCTAGATGATATCGTACAGGTGCTCGTCCGTATGAATCAAAATATTGACCGACGTCATTCGTATCGATATATAAAGCTACCCAATGTGACCCTGGTTTATCATCTGTGTCCAAATTGCATATTATATACGTTGGTACGTGGGTGTACATGGGCAGTCTATTAGCAGCATAAACATTATTTTCTAGAGTGGGGTGAATCTTTTTCAGATGTTGTTGTACATCTAGTGTATCTATGATATTACTGCTATTAGTAGATTATTACAGTACAATCTACTCAATGACTAACATAGGAATGATCAATTATAGTGATTTGTAAATATTGAATTGCATTATTTTGTGTTATACAAAACGTATTTGAGTCATCAATACACTGAACAAGACGCAACATGAAGTAATGCTGAGATAAGCCACAGAATGTGAGATAAGCTTGTTGATGCATAAAGTTACTATCAATTCCACTACAGAAATTCTTTAGATTAGAATTATTACTTACTGGTACTATATAAGACCAAGCAACTGCAGTCATGGAGTTAGTGTATGGTCGTTTGACCGCAGTGAATCTATCAATAGTACATTTGTGTTACTTCAACGCATCAAAGGCCATGGATGTAAGTGTTTATTCTATTGACAAACTTACTTTTCTTTCTGTTATTTTCTTACGTGTGTATGATTTAGTGTTAACAAATTATATTTAAATATTGTGTGTGTGTATATGTTTAAGCCGTGGTAGCTCAGATGGTTAGCGCAAGCTGTAAATTTCACAGTACGCGACCCGGGTTCGATCCCCCCCGGCACCAATTAAATTGTTAATTGCAATTTTAAGTGTCTATTCTATTGACAAACTTACTTTTCTTTCTGTTATTTTCTTACGTGTGTATGATTTAGTGTTAACAAATTATATTTAAATATTGTGTGTGTACCGCATCTACGAATACTAGAGTAGTTAAAAATACTTTTTTTTTTAACAATGACAGTCATTAATTGATCATTAGTGAATATGATTCTGTTTACTTAAATTACAGGAAGACTAGAGCAGAAGGAAGAAATGGGATGATGGGAAGTAATGAAGCATTGTTATGTGAAGTTTGTTGCAACAAACATATTTTTAGTCACGTATAAATACGTGATAGGTCCCATAATGAATTGGCCTAACTGTGAACCAATGAAGGAAATGAAACGAAACCAATTTTATTTTTCAATATAATCACCATGAATACTAACACACTTCTGACATCTGTGAATCAACATCTCTAAACCTTTATAAAAATAATCACATTTTTTATCCTCAAAATGACTGAAGACGGCCGTCTGCAACTCTTCATCGCTTGAAAATTTTCTTCCTCTTAAGTCCCGCTTTAAATTTGGAAATAAATAATAGTCGGACGGGGCCATGTCTGGACTGTAAGGTGGATGTTGAACTTCTGTGAACCCGCATTGACGAACTGCATCCTTCGAAACACCAGCGGTATGAACAGGGGCGTTGTCATGGAGCAAGAGGACACCTTTAGACAGCTTGCCTCTTCGTTTTTCCTTTATCTTGTCTCGTAATTTATATATTAAAGAAGCATAATATTCGCCGTTCACGACTGTATTACGTTCTTTAAAATCCACCATCAAAATGCCTTGAAAATCCCAAAATATTGTGCACATCAGTTTTTTAGTCGATTGTTGCACCTTTGCCTTTCTAGGGGGCTTTTCACCCTTATAACGCCATTCCATTGACTCGCGCTTGCTTTGTGGATCATAATACAAGATCATAGTTTCATCACCAGTCACTAGCCGCTCGATCACAGTCTTTGGATTTTCGCCACAAAGGTCCAAAAACTCCGAAGCGCAGCGCACTCTTTCCTGTCTCTGTACCGCTGAAAGAAGTTTCGGTACCCATCTTGCACTCACTTTTTTCATGTGAAGATCTTCATGGATCGCGCGATGAACGGTACTCTTAGAGAGCCCAAGCCTTGCTGCAATTTCTCTAATCTTCAAACGGCGGTCACTCAGAACCTCCTCTTCGATAAGAGCAATCGTTTCGGGAGTGAGCACTTCCACAGGTCGACCGTCGTGGCCAAAGTCTTCGACGGTTTCTCTCCCGAGGCGAAACTCTTTCGCCCAATTTTTCACTGTGCTATAGGAGGGGGCAGACTCCTTATACACGCCATCCAATCGTTCTTTTATTTGGGCAGGGGATAAACCTTCTTTAAACAGAAACTTTATGACACTTCGATACTCAGTTTTCGACATTTTGAAAAAATACGCGACTCTCGTTATTCAAATGCCTGTTAAACTAAGACTAAGCATTTCATGTCGATGCATGTTTCTTATATTAAGCGCATGATAAACGTACTATTTAATGCAACACAACATGTAGCGACATGTCGCGTTGAACTATATCAGGCCAGTTCATTATGGGACCGCCTGGTACTTTTAACATTTTGGTTCAAAATGACACAAAATCTAAAAAATATTAGATACATCATCGACATGGACGGATTTTACATTACATATCCTCATAAACATTTTCAATGTAGAGAAATGGCTATTCTAGACGTAAAACTATCTAATAAAAATGATGCGTTTATCGATCATTATTTGTTTCGGCCAAGTTATCCTTTCAATTATTTGCCACCAAAAGACAAAAAAAAACTGTTCGTTATTGTGAAACACACGTGCACGGCATTCCATATTTTAATGTGACCGAAGAATTAAAATGTGCCTACAAACAAGAGAACATCATCCCCATATTAAATTGGTATATTAGAAATTTGTGCAAAGACGAAGTGATCGCATACAAAGGTGGTTCAACAGAAAAACAATTTTTAAAAATGTTGACGACGAATGATAGAATTTTTAATATTGAAGAATACAAATGTCCAAAATACAATGATATGGTAAATGTCATAAATTTAAACAAACGTTATGTGTGTAATAATCATATATTTGCAAAAAAATAATCACAAAATTTTACATTGTTCTTGTGACGAAGTGTGGGTTTTTTACAAGTGGTTATTGCTTGAAAATAAAATTTTAAATTAATCATAAATTTTGTTTGATTTCCCAAAAACATTAGTTATAGTACACAATATATATTAATTGTTTACACCAACACTTTCATTTTTTATTTCACCCCTTAGAACTTTAGACGTGTGTAATGTTTCACTTTATACATCCGTTTACTGCTATTGTGGCAGGACCAAGTGGATGTAGGAAGTCAAATTTTGTAACAAATTTCATAAAATCAGTTACAGAAATATGTAATTGTGATTTTAATCAGATCACATGGTGCTTTGATGAAATGCAACCTTTATATAATTTATCAAATGTTAACTATCATCAAGGAATTCCAAATCTTAATATATTTGATGGTGAAAACCCACATCTCGTTATTATTGATGATCTTATGAGAGAGTCCGATGGAAGAGTTGTGGATATATTTACAAAAGCTAGTCATCACAGGAATCTCAGTGTATTTTATTTAACACAAAATTTATTTCATCATATAAAGGGCAAAGAGATATCTTTAAACTCAAGTTATATAATATATTTTAAAAACCCTCGAGATAAAACTCAAATAACATATTTAGCACGACAAGTGTCACCAGATAACCCAAAATTCATTGAAGATGCCTACAGGGATGCAACTCTAGAGGCACATGGATATTTAATGGTAGATTTAAAACAGAGTACCAATGATTTTTGTCGTATCACGACAAATGTCTTCCCTTTTAATGGTTTCTGTACAGTCTACGTCCCCACAAAAGAGTTTAAATACACCAAGAATCAAACAA